AAAACCCAGACTTTGAACTGTCGAACGGTTGACTGCAGGCTTTCATCAGTAAACACAATCTTGTGCTAGATAAGCCATCGAGCGAAAGCGGTGACTCAGATATGTGTGCTGCCTCTGAGTGGACAGCAAAATAACCCGAAATATCTTCTGGCTACACAGCTAGACATTTTTAATTTAGATGAAACTGGTTTGTTATTCAAAGTGATTTCGGATAAAACATTTTTTGTCAAAGGAAAGAAATGCGCAAGTGGGAAAAGAAACAGGGGGCATCTCACAGTTATGCTGTGCACTAACATGTTGGGAGAGTGAGAACCGGCTTTAGTGATTGGGAAACCAGCCAACCCTCGAATTTTTAGAAACATCAACATGAAAAACTACGGGTAGTGTACAAAAATAATAAAAGTTATGGATGTTTGCAGATATTTTCGAAGATTGGCTTAAACGTTTTGACAGAAAAATGCAGTTAAAAAAGCGAAACATGCTGTTTGTTGACAATGTCACCTGCTATCCCCAATTCCAACTACTAAACGACAAATTGCGGTTCCTGCCACTAAACATCACTTCGTTAGTCCAAACCCTCAATTATTGTGTCATTCAGTCGCTTAAATTGAAGTTTTGGAAGAAACAGCTGCTGCATCTTATTACGATCATGAAATGCCACAAAGATGTCCGGAACTAACTCATGAAACGAGTAAATTTATTGGAGGTCATGTTCTGGATAGCTGCCGCATGCAAGGAGGTGGAGAACTCAGCAATCGCGTGATTTCTTTGTGTTGCAGAATTAGATTCTGTGGAAGTATTGCAAACTGGACCTGAGCAAATTGTACCATCAACCTCTATTGCTTTGGACACACTATTAAAGGAATTGTTTAGATGCCAACTGGCTGACAGCCATATGGTTGCTTCTTCTGTCCAAACCTGTAACACAACTGAAATAAACTGGGACCTGCCTGCTACATCAATTTTAGCAGCTGAGGATGTGAATATTGAATTAGAAGACTAGCAGAAACAGGATTCTACAGACGTTTTGAAAACGTATACATTCACAGACGCACACGGTGTTGTTAACCTTTTACGCTCCTACGCCATACATAGCGAACACACTGACATGCTTAAACTTATCATGAAAGTGAAGGAAAAACTAAATTCAGCTTTCATTTCAACTACCAAGTAACAGACCACTATACTTTATTTCTTTCGTCTGGTGGTAAATGATTATGATAATAGAAATGTATGTGCATAATTTTTCCAAAGTTTTTGAGTTTCGATGAATTCCAGGTCAGTTTTTACAATGTTAACATATAAACTGTAACTATTACACACTTATTGCTCATATATCTCACGTTATACACTACTACTATTGTTGCCTTAATTAGAAGCTAAAACAGATAGCAGAAGCCGTCGAGTTACAGATCTAGTTGGCGATTTGAAAGTTTATCACACAAATGGAGTCGATTCTGAGTGTGTCGTCTATGCAAGAATCTGTCCATGGCGACCACCTGTCCAAGGCGAAAATTTTTGTCGGTCCGTTGAGTGGTTGCCTTGGGCGCCGACGTGTCAATTAGAGTCCTCCTGTAGCTGAGCACCGCCGGACCCAACTAGATCATATTGCCATAAGTTACAGGTGGTATGGTTCCATCCTGCATTCTCGCTCGTTTTGCAGTACTGCGTCGACTCTGATCACACATTGGTACGCTGTCGTTTCTCCATTATTTTTACCTGGAAGCGTACCAAGTGCCTAACTCAATTGGCATCTGATAAATCATATCAGCCTTTGGTCAGACAAGCCTACCAAGATGCTCTGCGTACCGCTTTCGCTCCCTTGTCCTAATGACTCTAAGCTATAATGGAATAGGATCTAAGCCGGCATTCACAAGACGGGAGTCTGTGCTTGTGCCACTATCAGTCGTCACCGCATCAGTCACTGGATCTCTGAGAAGTCTGTGAACTTGTTGGAATCCCAAAAGAAACTCCCGGCTGACTCTGAGCACAATGTGATCAGACGGACCATCAAGTGCGAAGTAAAGCGGAGCCTCCGTGCTGACATAGAAGCCTGGCGGACCAGTCGGGCTCAAGAACTGGTTGAAGCCGGAGCAGTGGGCAATTCTCGCAAGCTCTTTCATCTGATCCGCACCACTGGTCTTTGGAAATCAGGCGTCAGTGCAACAACCAGAGACAGTGCGGGCGTACTGATTCACAATAAGCAGCGCCGTATGGGTCGTTGGGCGGAGCAATTTCAAACGCAGTTTAGTTATCCCCCTGCTCCCGGACCTCTTCCTACCCAGGTAATGCAGGACGAGCCATGTCCAATTAGTTTAGAGCCTCGGTCGGAGACCGAGTTCCGAAACGTGATCACAGCCCTTAACCGTTTTCTTGTTGCTGTCCCGGATTCGCTCACACCCGCATTATTTAATTATGCTGGTGAGGTCCCCTGTAAAGTACTGACCTCTCTGCTTGAACAGGTTTGGAAGACAGAGACCATGTTGCCTAACTAAAGTGAAGCAATTATAGGGGTGAAATATGAAAAAAGTAGTCGCACCGACTGTGCTAAGCATAGGGGTATTAGCCTGACGCCAGTTGTGGCAATATTACTGGTCTGCATCCTCGTTCGTCGCTGCACTGCGGAACGGGAATCTCAGTTTCGGGAAAAGCAGGCGTTTCCACCCAGCTCGTGGCTGGGTAGACCATATATTCCCTCTACGGCAGGTTCTAGAGCAGTGCAACACGTACCTCAGGCGGATAACAGCTGTGTTTCTCGACTTCACATGCTCGTTCGATTCAGTCGATAGATCCATTCTGTTCGAAATACTTGCGTGGGATAGTGTTCCCATAAAACATGTGAACATTTTACGTGGTCTATACTCGAACACCACAGACCGCGTCAGAGTCAACGATGATTTATCGCATATCTTTCCGACAACAAGTGGCGTTCGTCAAGGTTGCCCAATTTCGTCGTGGACCGCGTGATGGCGTGTTCCCTTGCGGAATCTCACGTTGCTAGTGTCGAGATGCTGCCTGGTGAGACGCTAGTTGATCTTTATTATGCGGACTATCTTTCCTGCGTTTTACTGAGGTCGGAGCGGCGCAATCAACCCTGAATAGCTTGTCTGGAGTGGTCCCATTATTTAGTATGCGCTTCGTGCATTTTGAAGTTTAAAGTGCTGCTGCAAACCACCAGCCACTTGATTTCTCGACGCTTAATGGTGGCGAACTCGAGGTAGTTGATCACTTCACCAACCTTGGCAGCTGTATCAGCAACGAGGGGGGCGTAGCAACTGTAGTCGGTTCACGCATTGCAAAAGCCAGAAGTGTCTTTTTGCAGCTGCGACATCTTTGGCGAGAGAAGTGGGTTTCCCTCTGTTTGAAAGGCCATGGTTACCAAATCATGGTGAGGGCCATCCTACTTTATGTAAGCGGGACTTGGCCCCTCCGATCTGCGGACCTGCGAAGCATTGTTGTTATCGGATGGCACCAGCGTGTACGCAACGATGGCGTGCTTAAACGAGTACAAGGCAGTGATAACTAGGCTATTTCCCTCGAATAACAGATACCACTGAATAAATTGTGTTGTCTTAAGCATGTTGTGCGTATTCCTGGTCACCGTTTACCTAGGAGAGCCTTGTTTCGTCTGCCAGATGTAGGTCGGCGCAAGGCTCGAGGTGGAAAAATATTAGCAGCTGAAAATGAGTTCGCTTACGACTCAGCTCGGTGCCTTCTGGCCACGCAGGCTGGAGTTCACCTCACGTCTTGTGCTTGGCTTGAAAGGTTGCAGGACATGGCTCGCTATCGACACTAGTGTCGAGTCTGCTGTCGTCTCCTAGTCTAATTGCCTGTTTAAAGTGTGTTTCGTACTGAGTTATCTACGAGGTAATAGCTGATTATGTCGCGTGGCAATGAAAGCCGCAAAGTGCTGTCTCCCCGATGCCGCCTTTGCACCATAATCATGCATTTGTGATGGCGTGTTTTGACACAAGTTGCAGGCGCCTGGACCCCGAATGCTCGCTTACAACAATGAGGTTTTACTATAGATCCCTGATCTCTCCCGCTTATTGTTCCGTAAGTCATTGTGGTTGTACGGCAGCGAAGCATCAGTTCAAGTGGCTGATGTGCTGTTGTTGTTGTTGTTGTTGTTGTTGTTGTTGTTGTTGTTGATGTTGATGATGATGATGATGATGATGATGATGATGATGATGATGATGATGATGATGATGATGATGATGATGATGATGATGATGATGATGGATGATGATGATGATGATGATGATGATGATGATGATGATGATGATGATGATGATGATGATGATGATGATGATGATGATGATGATGTTGATGCTGATGATGATGATGATGATGATGATGGTGATGATGATGATGATGATGATGATGATGATGATGATGATGATGATGATGATGATGATGATGATGATGATGATGATGATGATGATGATGATGATGATGATGATGATGATGATGATGATGATGATGATGATGATGATGATGATGATGATGATGATGATGATGATGATGATGATGATGATGATGATGATGATGATGATGATGATGATGATGATGATGATGATGATGATGATGATGCTGGATGATGATGTTGATGCTGATGATGCTGGATGATGATGATGATGATGATGATGATGATGATGATGATGATGATGATGATGATGATGATGATGATGATGATGATGATGATGATGATGATGATGATGATGCTGCTGGATGATGATGTTGATGCTGATGATGCTGGATGATGATGATGATGATGATGATGATGATGATGATGATGATGATGATGATGATGATGATGATGATGATGATGATGATGATGATGATGATGATGATGATGATGATGATGATGATGATGATGATGCTGGATAATGATGAGGATGATGATGATGATGATGATGATGATGATGATGATGATGATGATGATGATGATGATGATGATGATGATGATGATGATGATGATGATGATGATGATGATGATGATGCTGGATGATGATGTTGATGCTGATGATGATGATGATGATGATGATGATGATGATGATGATGATGATGATGATGATGATGATGATGATGATGATGATGATGATGATGATGCTGATGATGATGTTGATGCTGATGATGATGATGATGATGATGATGATGATGATGATGATGATGATGATGATGATGATGATGATGATGATGATGATGATGATGATGATGATGATGATGATGATGATGATGATGATGATGATGATGATGATGATGATGATGATGATGATGATGATGATGATGATGATGATGATGATGATGATGATGATGATGATGATGATGATGATGATGATGATGATGATGATGATGATGATGATGATGATGATGATGATGATGATGATGATGATGATGATGATGATGATGATGATGATGATGATGATGATGATGATGATGGTGATGATGCGTCGCTATCGTTTGCACTGACGCATTTTCTAATAACTTGTTAATGAGCTGCTTCAACCGCGCTTGATTGCACTCCGTTGAAGAAAAATCCCGCTATGCTTTGTTCTTAGGATTACTACCCCAAACTTATCATTTCTTTGCTGTGAGTTGACACTTCTGGTACCAGGAAAGCCGATGATTAGTTTTCGCTATCCCTTAATCCCTCTGGCGACGATAGACAGTTACACTCGCCTTCCTTTCTGTTTCACGGTTCGATGGGCAAAAATAGGATTCATGGTTTCGTCCACCGACCCACCTTTATCTGTATTGGGTGTGATACCCACTGGTCAGCTCTGGACAATATATTTTAGACTCTCAGTATTGTTCCTTCCCATCTTTGTTGTTCAACGCGCGGTTTTTTATTACAACTGCTGTGTCGCACACTCACTAGCGTTCGGTATCGGTTAACATATCTTGTAGCCATCTGGTCAGCCCCATTAGCAATAATGAATTAGTAACATGGAACTGTCTTCGGAACCCATGTGACCATTATGAGTGAGGTTCGCTAAGATAGGACTGTTGTGAGACCTCAGTTCACCTTTGTGAAACCGGGTGGGGTATTTACCCCACCATGCACCCCCTTAAGATAGCCACTTCGTGATTTGAACCACCTATCCACATGCCTTAATTCAACTCATGTTACAACAACGTAGGTGGCATACCTATTCCAATACACTACTCATCGTTGTCTCACGCAGTTCTGTTCTGGTTTCCACTTTACTGCACAATGCCCAGGGCTAGTGAAGAGCTACCTGCATGGATTGTTTTAACTTCGAAATCCCATTCGTCTTCACAACGTTTTTCCCTTTCGGTGTTTTTGGCCCTGCTTCACGTCATGGAAATGGAAATTGGACCTCAGTGCCCCTTCATCCGGTTGTTCAGCCCTCACCAATACTGCCTTCGTGTCACTCACCTGCCTCTTGCGTGGATGAGACCTCTGGTTTTTTCGAATATCGGCGCTCAGTGGCGTAGTTGCCGGGCTCAATCTTTTGTATTACTCTGACACTGTCTTATGTTAGAATTATTCTGTTCACTAAGCAGTGGGTGGTTTTTGACCACGCTGTTGACACCTTATTATTTTTCTCTAATGCTGCCAACACAACCTCGTTCGACCGGTTTAAGTATCCCTTTGAATAGTACGTCTTAATGCATTTTACTATTGACTGGCACTTTCAGGTCATATTTAACGTACCGTTATCCTCACCAGCGTGGATTAGAACGCTTCGTTTTGAACAGTCGTAATGAACTCCTGATGGAAATTGAGACCTGCAATTCTTCCGTTGCTCGCTTGAAGCATCAAATCGCATTAGTCAAGCCGAGCGGGACTACTGTCAACCCAACACAGTCCCAACCCAATACACTTCCCGAAAACACATCTTCATCCAGTGCCTCCGCTATCCTACAAGGAGTTGCAACAACCGGCACACTCGACAAAAGCGAGCGGTGGATTCACTGCTGTCATTCGTCTTGCCGGCTGCTGTCCAGGCACAAATGTTCGCAACTCCCGTTCCGGGGGACTCCAAACTAAGCGATGCAAAGCTCAGACAGGTTGGTCTTACGCGAAGGCCTCCTGAATCTGATTACCACTCCTATTTTCTAACAACCTCAAAGCAGTCGTTCGTTTTCATTTTCAGTGAAGTTATTTGCATCATTTGGGTCCATTATATTCGACTTTTACTCTTCGACTGTTTGTTATGGCGTACCCTTGGTCTTAGCCGTTTAAGTCTTTGCGTATATGTATCTCTCTCTCTGTCAACATGTATTTATGCAGTATCGAATGATTGCCTCCTAATCCTATCAGGTATTGTGTCGGTGATGATTTAACCTGCTTTAGGAGCCCGGTACTTGAAAGAGTACCAATGGGTGCGAAGTACCGAATTGGCACATGTATCCGCTACTAAATTGTTATCATTGAAAGTATCTACCATGCGCATCACTTTAGGTTCTCGTCAGTCTTGTCGTCTATTTTTAACATCGCATTCTTCCCATTAAGCTTAGTTATCTGGCCTTTTTAATGGAACCCAAACTAGAGGCACTAATAAGTTGAACATGGTTGCTACTGATATCGATGAGTGTTTAATGACGCATTCCACTGGAGGTCGCACTCCACAATTGACCATCTTTTGGGAAAGTCGTTCATCACTATGTTTACTGTACGTTTGTCACCATTAGTTCCGCACTTTTAGGAGAAGGATACAAAGTTTGAGCAATGAACACCGCTCTCTCGGGCTGCACATGAAGGCCTGCGATTTCTCCTGTTGTTGTATGAATGCAGCCTAGTTACTCAGTGCCATCTGACATCTCTTACTGTTATCGAAACTTTGAGGCTATTTGTGGACATAAACTGAGCTGTGGCATTGGTCAAAGCTCGTTCTGGATGAAAACAACCGCCTGAAGTCTTAAAATGATATTCTTTTTGGATAACTTTCGTCGGCTAAAACTGTCTAACTTTGCACAGTTGTTTATTCCCTATTTATTTCATTTACACATGAAGACAAGCAGCACACATTTTTAATCATTGTGTCCGTTTAGCAGACTTTTCCATCTTTTTCCATTTACAGCAGCTGCATTTGGTTCAGGAGCTTGAATCTGGTCATGGGAACGACTTTCTAGTATGTCACTTTCCTTATTTCTTTATTATTGATTAAATTTAAGTGGATAGTTTGTTTTGTTCGAGTTCATTTGGGTCTCCTAGTTTCACGTCATTTTAATTTTCGCCAGCGACTGGCAATACATCCCTTTTCTCGACGGCTTTACCTTCGCATTTGACCACTTGGCACTTTCCCATGCATCTTCTGGTTGTCCCTTAGTCACTTTTAATGCGCACTACGTAGCGATGCCTCAAATCCGATCCGGATCGCAATAATGAGCAATTTGTCGCAACACTTAAAAGAAGCTAGCTTTTACCTCGGTTCTCTTTGTGCAATATTCTATGCTTATAGCCCACACATTTGCAGCGGTGCTTTTTTCGTTGCACAACTGTTGTCTACTACTCTGACTGCTCATGAGGTTACGCAATCAACAGCTGGTCCCCTGGATGGGCTGCTACTTATTTGCACAAGCCGAGACAAGTACACTTTATGCTGGTAACCGGGTCGAGCCATGGCCCTGTGGATCTTGTTGTTATCTCGTATCCACTAAATAACATACAAGCATCGCTATGATTTTTTTCATTGTTTTGACGCTACTTGCGGTCCCAGGAATGCACTTAGTTTTTCCTCATAAAGTGTGCGGTTTAGCTGCGTATTCACGTTTCTTATTGAATTGTTAATTATTTCTGTTGAGGCGGGCAGGTCCTGCATCATTTAAATTTATTCCAATGATCTTATATCCCTTAGTTTTTAAGATCTTTCATTGGCACCGTTTCGTGATGCATCATCTATTTGTACTTGCATTTCGCAGACCTGGCTGGTATCAATTCGGCATAGGCACCAGAAAGTGGCCATGCGACGAACGTTTCGTCAGAGTCGTGTCGACTTGGCTACAGTAATTGGTCTGCACTCCATCTCAGCCGGCCAAGAGACCCCATCATCCTTGGTAGCATCTAGGCAGACTAAAGGTGGTTTCTCCACGGGAGTGCGGGAGGTCCGCAGCATTCAGTGGCCTCACCAAAGACAATGGTACTTCTTTAAAACCGCAGTAGACTTCCCGGTTAGTTTTGCTCATCTTTCTTAATCACAGTCTCATCATCAACTCTTTTTGAACTCCATCATAACGTGCTCTTCCTACATTGGCGTTTAACACTTTCCATACATTGCGATTCAGGCTCTTTTGGTCACCCATAATGGTTACCTATCGCACAACCTAGGGTTGGGTGTACATGATCTACTGTTCGTTTTTGTGACTATATTTTCCATGTCGGCCTATGGAGGGCAGTCGGAGTCGGTCCACACACCGTGTGTCCCTTTGTCTTTTTGACATTCTCCCAATTCCCATACTTCACATTAAGGTTGCACACTTCAAGTATGACTCTCAAGTTAAACAGTAACAGTCCCAACGTTGAAATGTCACGGATCTAGTTGTTTCGACCCGCTTTGCTTTTCATATCAACACGGGCTCTACTGATGGGTGCAGCTGTATCCTCAACATTTTGGCCATCACAGGTAGTGCAATTCCCTATTTATGTTAGCAGATCTACGACTTCGAGTGACTCTTCGACGTTGGTTAGAACTGGTGGCTCAGCAATCGGACGATGCAAAGGAGACGCTGAATAGAGCTGCACTCTACGTTTACACATATATTAAGACCACCACAGAGAGAAGTATTTCGTTTGCGTGGTCCAGCTTTGCTGGTCACTAATCTGACACACTACCACTTCCGGATATGATAGTCATTTATAGTTATCCTGATCACAGTGTTTTGAAGCGGATATTCAGCGAATCTAAAGCTCCGAAGAATGCAGCTATCTGTTCAACCACCTTGCACATTTGTGAAACCTGGCTCACCAAGTCGACAGACGTAAAGAAGCAGCCCTTGCAACTTGGCTCATATCTAGTGGGAACACGGCGTGAGCAATGGGCCAGTTGGACGTCGCGTATTTCGAGCAGAAAAGCGAGTGAACTGCTCACCAACGTTTAAATCACGCAACAGGCTCCGACGCCTGGGCCATGTGTTGCGTATGCCAGCATACCGAGTCCCGCATCTTGCGCTATTTGCTCGCTGGGGGTGTGGATGGAGGAAGGGGTGGGGTGACCACCAGACTTCGTCTAAAGGAATGGCGTCCCTCACTTCAAATTTGACTTCGGTTGGTTTTTCCCGACTGCTGTGCTGGGGTCCGAAGGACGGTGAACACATTTGCTTGGATACACTAGCTGACGTGACGAGGAGCCGACCCCAATGGCGTGTGTCTCGTGAGTCTCTTTGTCCCTCCCCTCCAACAGCGATCTCAACCCAAAGCATAATGTGCTTTTAACATTACGTTACTTCTTTTGGCTTTTTTAGTCTGTAATGTTTAATCTCATCTTTTTGTACTGCAGTACATTGGCTGCGGTGTAATTCTCATCCT